GCTCTTCGCATGCCTGCACTGGGAAAAGCTCCTCCTGTTCCTCTGCCTCTCTGCTGTCCGCCTCTGGAGGCTCTGGAGTCTGCACATCGCTCCCAGATGGCCCTGGCCCCATCTCTGCCTCCAATGCAGGGCCCTCATCTGGGTCTTCCCCTGACTCCAGGACTGGTCCATTGTCCTCCCCAGCCTCCTCACTGTCCGACTCCACTGCCAGGTCCGCAGGCTGCTGGCGGACCACAACACTGGGTAACTTATTTGGGGGGTTTGAGGAAGTAAAGAATTCCTTCCCCCTTTGCTATTTTTACTTGATTATTTTAGTTTCAGCTTGACTGTCAATTTTTAATATTTTTTTAGTGTATGGCACGTGTTAGCCAGGTGGCTGGCTGCCCCTGTGAAGGAATTTTTTTCAGGCGGTGTTATATTTACCCGCAGGACACCCGAATGCCAGTAGGCATTCAGGAGAGGCTCCTTTCTTCTCCCTACGCAGTTTATTCCCTCACAGGAATCGAGCCGCTGACCTCAGTGGTGTGCAATCCCAGTGCCTTAACCACATGAGCCACCACGGCCCCCTAGCTATCAATGATTTAGTGGGGATATTGATTCTCAGTCCATTGTGGATTCTGTTAATGTTTTAAGGGAAGATGAAAATAGTATAAAGAATAAAATAAATTTTGATATAAAACTTCTCACAGAGCTAGGTCATGGGAATGACAGCAAAGCTCTTTTGTCTCACCAGACTGTCAGATTTATACTATTTCTGAAAGTGGGACATGTGCTAATGCGTCCTCATGTACAATAACCATTTATAGATCTATTCTCAAAAAAGGAAATAAAGTTTTGCTTCTTACAGACGTATTCTGAAACTGGAGAGGTGCTATACTGTATCTAGCCATTCATGGGAAGTCAAAACATTTTGGTTTGTAACTATTATTGTATAGCGCATGATTTATATCCTTCCTCATTTTGAGTTTAGATGTTTTTTAAAAAAGTAAAGAACAGAGTAACTCAGGATAATTCGCTTTAATGTTTGACCAGTGCTAAAATGATTTAGTCTTACACACTTACTGAATAGAAGGTTGTAGTTGCGAGTGTGAATATGATAGGGAACTTGTCCTATTTTTCGTGAATAATTATTGTAACTATTTACGCATGGTTTTTAAATGGCCCAGCCCAGAGATAATTCTTGAACTAGAAACACAAAAACAGAAAATGTGTTTCTATCCTATGTCCTAGAAGTTCAAAGAGGAACTATAAAGAGGAGAACTTCAAAAATAAATATTTGATGGAGAAAATTGCATAGGCAAAGTCAGCAGAGAAGCAAAAAACAGGATACTGTGTGAGCCAATGATCTTTATAGAATGGGGATTTTTTTTCTCTTCAAATATCAGGAGGGTCTCTACTGGAAAACTATATTGCATCACTGTCTGGTTTGGTGGCAGCAGTGCCTCAGATAGAAAGTCCATACAGAGAGTGGTAAGGACAGCTGAGAAGATCATAGGAAGCTTGCTTCCTGGTATTTAGAATGCTTCTTATAAGCCCGTGATGGCAAACCTATGGCACATGTGCCACAGGTGGCATGCGGAGCCATATTGGTGGGCATGCAAGCTCAGCTCTGGCATGCATGCGCGCACCAGTCAGCTGATTTTCGGGCCTTCTGGGCCCATCGGAAATTGGGAAACACGCTGTTTCTGGCCTCTGGAGGTCCTCCAGGGGGGTGGAGAAAGGCTGTTTTTTGCTCTCCCCAGGCTCCAGAAGCTTTCTAGGAATCTGGGGAGGGTGAAAATGGGCTTCCCCACCCCGCCAGAGGCCCTCCGGAGGCCGAAAACAGCCTATTTCCCGACTTCCAGTGGGACCGGAAGGCCCATTTTTCACTCTCCCTAGAAGCTTTCTAGGAGTCTGGGGAAGGCAAAAATGGGCTTCCCCCTGCCCCCCGGAGACCCTCCAGAGACCAGAAATGGTCCATTTGCCAACTTCCGGTGGGAGAGCGGGGGGGTCGCATGCATGTGCCCACACCCATAATTCTATGTGCCCTGCCCCCCCATGCATACCCACATGACCCCTCGTGTTCCCCCCGCTTTTGGCACACGATGGCAAAAGGGTTAGTCATTACTGTTATAAGAGCTACATGCTTAGAGCTCAAAGCATTGTTAAAGACCCCACACACCCATTTACAGTCTGTTTCTGTTGCTCCCCTCTGGGAGAAGGTTTTGAAGTATTTCTACCCTGTTTCCCCAAAAATAAGACATCCCCTGATAATAAGTCAAATCGGGCTTTTGAGCACATGCACTAAAATAAGCCTCCCCCCGAAAATAAGCCCTCCCCAAAAATATTTAAATGCAGAGCTGGAAATCAGGTAAGACGGCAAGAGGAGCCACATTTTGCTCCATGCGCCCCAAAATAATAAAACTCCCCATTTCTCTGTGTCATATATGCAGGTATATGCATAATTCTGTATTTATTTATTTATTTTGTTATATTTATGTAGTATATATTGGAGGTGGTGACCCTTTGACAAGCTGTATGCAACAAAATTTCATTTTAATGTATGCCGATTAGTGTACATTCAAAGTGACAATAAAGTTATTATTCTATTCTATTCTATTCTATTCTACTCTACTCTACTCTACCCTACCCTACCCTATCCTATTCCTATTCTATTCCTATTCCTTTCCGTTTGTTCCGTTTGTTCTGTTTGTTCCATTCTGTTCCTGTTCCTGTTCCTGTTCCTGTTCCTGTTCCTGTTCCTGTTCCCGTTCCTGTTCCTGTTCCTGTTCCATTCCATTGTATTCTCTGACTTGTGTTGAGGAATATTGGTCCTTTAAATATCAAAGTCTCTGCTTGAAAACTAATCTATATAAAGGTGTTAAGTGGAGCCCTCCTTTCATCGCTATTATTATGGTGCTCTATAGCCATTACAGGCAGTTCTTAACTTACAACAGTTCATTTAGTGACTATTCAAAGTTACAACACTGTGATGGTATGTTGAGGATTACCTGTATTATTCTGTATATCCTATTTTCATTATGTGTACAGTATGTTTTAATATTATGTGGAAATCTACTTTGCAGTTTATTGTCTGTTTTTCTTAATGTGCACTACCCAGAGTTGTTGTTGTTCTGTTGCTAAGTTGTGGCTGACTTTTTGTGACCCAATGGACCACAGCAAGCCAGGCTCCCCGTCCTCCACTGTCTCCCAGAATTTCCCAAATTCATTTTCATTGCGTTGATGACACTATCTCTCTCATCGTTCTCCTTCCCATTTGGTAGCCAAAGTATTGGAGCTTCAGTTTCAGTGTCGGTTCTTCCAAAGAACAGTCAAGGTTGATTTCCTTCAGGATTGACTGATTTGATCTCCTTGCAGTCCAAGGGACTCTTGAGTGTCTTCATCACAATTCAAAAGCCACAATTCAATTGTTTCTGAGTTGGATGGCCTTATAACAGGGGTGAAATCTACTTACCTTCCTTTCTGGTTCGGAAGTGCTTGCTTCACTCGCCCGTGCGCACCAATCACATGCGTGCACAGACCCTCTGCACATGCGCAGGGGGTAAAAAACACATTACTTCCTGGTTAAAATCAGGAAGTAACGACATGTGGGTGGGTGGGCGGAGCCTTGCACCACCATCGCTACTGGTTCTCCGAACCACCTGCCACAATCGCTAACGGATCGCCTGATCTGGTCCGAACCGGGAACATTTCACCCCTGCTTTATAATTCCAATAACCTAAATAAATAAATATTTCCCATGGAGAATGGTATTATCGTCCACAAATATCAAAATCTCCTAGCAGAAGAGCTGCTACTAGCGTAGAAATCACTTGTTTTGATCACCCATTTAATTTTGATATGGGAGCATTCTTAGAGATTTGGGGATTAATTTATACCATTTTTTTTTTCATTGAACAAGCTGATAAAACCATTCGACCCTGTATTTTGCCTTTAGTTTAAGACAGATGAGAATGGATTAAATTTGACAGGTCGCTGTAAATCCATTCTGCCTGGTAGTTTCTGAGTGTTTATTAACAACCCTAATGATGTAAAGAAATATAAATGTAAAGTCCATCTTTGAACTCAGCCTTGTCCTTAGATATATATTTATCAAACCGGTTTGATATTATGAAGGATGACGTTGTTTGTTTAAAAAAATGGGGGTGGGGATTTTTGCAATGGTTGGACTTTAACTGACATTTTCCAATGAGGACTATAGTGATAGAAGAATAAGGATCATGTAATGGGATAGAAAAAGCAGCTTTAGGCAGGGAGCTAGTTGGGTCTCCATTCTCACATAGAATAGAATAGAATAGAATAGAATAGAATAGAATAGAATAGAATAGAGTAGAGTAGAGTAGAGTAGAGTAGAGTAGAGTAGAGTAGAGTAGAGTAGAGTAGAGTAGAGTAGAGTAGAATAGAATAGAATAGAATAGAATAGAATAGAATAGAATAGAATAACAGTGTTGGAAGGGACCTTGGAGGTCTTCTAGTCCAACCCCCTGCCCAGGCAGGAAACCCTATACCATTTCAGACAAACGGTTATCCAACATCTTCTTAAAAATTTCCAGTGTTGGAGCATTCACAACTTCTGCAGGCAAGTTGTTCCACTAATTAATTGTTCTTACTGTTGGGAAATTTCCCTAGTTCTAAATTGCTTCTCTCCTTGATTAGTTTCCATCCATTGCTTCTTGTTCTACCCTCAGGTACTTTGAAGAATAGTTTGACTCCCTCTTCTTTGTGGCAGCCCCTGAGATATTGGAACGCTGCTATCAGTGTCTCCCCTAGTCCTTCTCTTCATTAAACTAGACATACCCAGTTCCTGCAACCGTTCTTCATATGTTTTATGATCTGTGCTAACTGGGGAATCCTGGCAGTTGAAGTCCAGACCCCTTAAAGTTCCTATGGTTGAGAAACACTGCTCTGTCTTCCTGGAAATTGGCAAGCCCCAATCATCCTCTCTCCTTCCAAAAGTCCGCAGACATTATTTGTGTGTTTTAAGTTTACTGAACACGCTACAAGGATAATAAACCTTTATTTCTAAACCAAGAAAATTGTCAAGATTCCAAGTTTTAGATGGCAGACCTGTGCTGATACAATGATGTTTCTTTTATTTAAATTGAATGTGGCTATGACTTAGGAGTCTGGGTACAATGGAGTTAAAATTGCCAATAATTGGGGAGGGGGGTGTAATGTGCAGCTTTGGTAAGAAATAGCTTCTCTGAAGATCCTGGCAGATGATAATATATACTGTATATAGGAGCTGGTAATGGGTAAGTTTATAGCAGCCTTTGCTCATCTGGTGTCCTCCAGAGCCATTGGGATTACAATTGTTTAGAACAGTGATGGCTAACCTTTTTGCCATCGCGTGCCAAAAGCTGGGGGAGTGCAGGGTGGACGCGCGCATCTATGCCCACATCCATAATTCTATGCGCCCTGCCCCCCCCCGCTTTTGGCATGTGATGGCCAGTGGGCCTAGTAGGCCCATTTTTTGCCCTCTCCAGTCTCCAGAGGCTTTCTAGGAGCCTGGGGAGGGCAAAAACAGCCTTCCCTACCCCCTGGAGGCCCACCAGAGGCCGGAAACAGCACATTTGCCGACTTCCAGTGAGCCCAGAAGGCCCAAAAATCAGCTGGCCAGTGCACGCATGCATACTGGAGCTGAGCTAGAGCAATGCTTGCATGCCCACCAATATGGTTCCGTGTGCCACCTGTGGCACGTGTGCCATAGGTTCGCCATCACGGGTCTAGAATTTTAGGATGCTAGGCGATGCAGCCTCAGCACATTAAGAGGAACAGGTCTAGTAAGGCTGGTCTAGAAGATACCAGATCATGGTTAGTTATCAGTCTTGTGACTCTGGAGTGTAGATGATTAAAGGCTGGCTGTTCTTGCCCTTATCATGCCAACAGACATCAAAGAAGGGGTAAACCGTGCCTGTAAAACGCTCGTGGAAAGCAAAGAGCTGGACCAGATTGTCTTCATCACTGGCATCATAGAAGGCCAGGAGGCCATCATCGAAGCTCAGGTAGATGCCAACTCGGCTGGGCTTTCCCTCCAGCTTCAGAGACCGGGGTTCCTTGTGCTCCACGTAGGCCTCGTAGCTCTTGCCTTCCTTGCAACCCACCAGCCAGAAGCCATTAGACGGGGTGGCGTGAAGGCGGCCCTTGCGCCCGGTTTCAGCTGAGATGATGCCCACAGCCCAACGGGGCTTGTCTCCTACTGTCACCTCCCAGTAGTGTTCTCCTTGTGAGAAGCTCTGGCGTGAGACCAGGCAGTTGGACTTGTCAAACCGTTGTGGGTCATCCAGGCTCACGGCTTGTTTATGTTCGACACATTCCACTCTTTTCCCATCTTCGGACACCACAAGGTTGGCTTGGGCAGTGGCTGGGTCAAAGGTCAGGTCCTCCAAAGCTTCAGGAGGACAGAAAGAAGGCAAGATTAGCCACAATGTAAAAAATAAGAACCCCCCCTTTTCCCTCCCCTCTTTTCTTTCGTGGAAAGGGTTTAATCAGCGGGTGGTATTTCCCTGTTTTTAAAAAATAGCATAAGAATGATCACAATTATTCATTCTGAATTATTCATTCCTTAATATGCAAAGGTATTTCATTGTGAAATGATCAGAAGTTGCTTTTCTGAATGAAGCTGCCCAATCTTACAATCTTGCCTCGCTCGCTCTTATTTTTGAATTAAGACTTCCCAACAAACTATTAACTCGATTTTAGAAAGGATAGAGCTGAGTAACAAATATACTGAGTACAGGTAATCCTTTACTTACAACCATTCATTTAGTAACCGTTTGAAGTCACAACAGTCTTGGAAAAAAGTGACTATTTTTCACACAACTGCTGCAAGATTCCTGCAGTCACGTGATCCAAAATGCAGATGTTTGGTTCGTATTTTTGATGGTTGCTGTATTCTGGGGTCATGTGATCACCTTTTGCAACCTTCTGGCAAGCAAAGTCATCTTATCTTTAGAAAATCCACCTTCTCTTTAGCTCTCAGAGCAGAAATGTTACCTTATGTTGTGTCACATGACTGGCTATAATAACCTATACTGTAATGGCAATAAATAGACTGGGGCAGTGGTGGGTTTCAACGTTTTTTACTACCGGTTCTGTAGGTGTGGCTTGTTGGGCGTGGCGTGGCTTGGTGGGCATGGCTTGATGGCAGGGGAAGGATACTGTAAACTCTCCATTCCCTCCCCAATCCAGGGGAAGGATATTGCAAATTCCCTGCCAATCAGAGAATAGATGGGGATGGGGCCAGTCAGAATTTTTACTACCGGTTCTCCAAACTACTCAAACTTTTCGCTACCGGTTCTCCAGAACTGATCAGAACCTGCTGAAACCCACCTCTGGACTGGGGTGAGGTAAATTGGAGCCCTACATCAACTCTTGCATTCAAAAGGACACAAAGGGCCAACTTCTTAAAATAAAATCCATATGTAACTTTATCCTGCAAGTGGTGTCCTCTACCTGGCATTATTGCACGGAACATCTTCCTCCATACTTGAAACTTAAACTCATCAGAAATTATGGGGAGCTGGATGTCCATGCGAGCAATGGGTGGCGATTCCCCCAGGATCTTCTGCAATCTACGGGAAGAAGGAAAGGAGAAGACACGTTATCACAGCTGGGGGAGGAAAGAGGATCCCCCTACCTTTCTTTTAGATTTCCCCTTATTAAATTTAATAAAAAATTAACAATAGTTAATTGCTTATTAAAACAAGATTCCCAAACAAAGAGCCCATCAACATATCATGAAAGAAAACTTCCAGCTGACATCATGGCAATATCAGACACAGGGAACGGGTCTCCGCGTTCCCTGTGCTGAGTTCTCCCTGTTTGTGGGCTCCGAGAGGAGCCAAAGCTACCTTGTAGGGGCGGCTAAGCTAAGAAGGAATGTCCTGAGAGGTCGCAAGAGAGATTGCAACTCCCGGGCTTTTTTCCCTCTATGCCACAGCGAGGAGAAGTGGCAGCCTAAAGATGGCTGCCATGAAGCTGGGACAGCTGAGAAACATCTAAGAACTGTACTGGAGCAGAGTTGGTGAACGGTGCCTGGAACTGAGTGAGAAGAATCCTTTTTATTTAAAACTCAACCCCAAAAGAATATCCAGGAAAAGAGAGGCTCACTGCTATTTTTAAAAGCAGCTATTTAACATTTTGAGAAGAATTACAAAATTGAAGGAAAAATAATCAAAGGGAGAAAAGCAAACTTCTTTAAAAGTACAGAAAATTTACTTCTGTAAATTGGACAGATGTTGTTTTGGATAGGCAATTTAAAATGCTGGAAAACTAATTTAAAAATTAATATCATCTTTATATTTTGGATTGTTACCATTAAAATTGGATAAAACTGGTTAATATTGAAATTTGACCTAAGAGTGCCACCTGCTGACAAAAGGAAGGCATAACACATTTCCAAAATCCTGGAAATACTTGACTATTGAAGATTTAAACATGAGAATAAGAAAGACACTATTATTAAAGTGACCCCTGAAGGCTACAACATAAGACTGAATTTATAGAGGGACTTACGAAGGTCTGGAAAAATTCTTGGGACTATCCAGAGGAACAGGTTCATCAGCTTTGGGATATAAAGATTCATGAATATTGAACTTTTTGAGAAGTGATTTTTTTGAATATATGGTTTTTGGATTATTGGTCAAAAGAGGGACAAAATAAAACTAAATGAGATGCTCCACCAGCAAGAAAGGAATTTGGGGAGAAACGGCATCAATAATTCAAAGTATTAGGGATACTTTGACAAGAAGCTATAAGGAGATTATGAATAAAATGCAGAGCATAGATGGAGAGCTAGAAAACATGATACAAAGGACAAGGAGTGACCAAAATGCCCAGGAAGAGGAGGAGCCAATTGAAAGAGTAGATGAAAAAACAGAACAGAAAAACCAACAAATAAAATGAGATGACAAGGAGATAACCACAAAAGCAACAATGACTGATGAAATAAGGGGAGAGTATTTTAAGGGAATTAAAAAAGAAACTGGAGTTGCAGGAAGATTGTTTTGGAAGAGAGATAGGGGCAAGAGTAGATATTTTGAAAATGGAATAGGGTAGAGAAGGGAGAAATGTTTAAAATGATTGGTCAAGATAGAGACAAAGATCCAAGAGAGGAAAATAGGAGCTTTAAAGCAGGCAAGAGATGATGGATAGAAAGGGAATATTTTTAAATATAATAGTGGCATAATTAAAAGTTGCAATAGGGATGCAAACTAGGGAGAGGTGGATTAATGGAATACACATTTTTATATAATAAGGTGAAGTAATAGCAAGAGGGGAAATTAGAATTTGAATGATGGTATTATCAAGTATGGTTGAATAATATAGTGTGGCATAAAAATAACATATTGAAATACTGAATAATTAAATAATGGAAGATGATAACCTAACATAAATATGTGTACTATTACCAGAATTGTAAAAGCTTGTCAAACGTAGTAAATATAATGAATATTATTTTATTTGTACTAAAATGTAAGACACTCATGTGCCACACTGTTCACGCATTGATATGTTTGTAAAAAAATTAAAATAAAATAAAACACTTGGAAAAAAAATATATCTTGGAAAACAAGTCCCGCATTTTGAGGGAATTGTGGCAGTTATAATCCAACCTATCTGGAGAGAGAGCAGGATGAAGTACAGAAAAGTTGAATGATGGACATATAGAATAGAATAACAGAGTTGGAAGGGACCTTGTAGGTCATCTAGGCCAGCCCTCCACCCAAGTAAGAGACCCTACACCATTTCAGACAAATGGTTGTCCAATTTCTTCTTTAAAACCTCCAGTATTGGAGCACCCACAACTTCTGGAGGCAAATTGTTCCTCTGAGTAATTGTTCTGACTGTCAGGAAATTTCTCCTTAGTTCTAGGTTGACCCCCTCCTCTCTGTGACAGCCCCTCAAATATTGGAAGACTGCTATCATGTTTCCCCTGATCCTTCTCTTCACTAGACTAGCCATTCCCAGTTCCTAAAACCTTTCTTCAGATGTTTATAAATACCGTATTTTTCGGAGTATAAGACACACCGGAGTATAAGACGCACCTACCTTATTTGGTAAGGAAAAGAAGAAAAAGAAATCTCCCTCTGCCTCTGAGCAATTTTGCCTCGTTGCAGCAAACAGCAAACAGCCTGCTTTGCTTTCATTTTCGTTTTCAGCATAGCTTGATTAGCACAAGGGGAAAAAAATCTGCTCCAGCAATTGACCTCTTTGCAGCAAGCAGCAGAGCCCTGCACAAAACAGCTGAGAGCAAATCAGCTGAGAGTCGGGAGGTCAATCCAATCAACTTGTGCTAATTAGGCTGTGCTGAAGCTGAAAGGAACTGTTTTTTCTTGCTGTTTGCTTGCAAGGAGGTAACTGCTGCAAGCCAGAGGCCAAGGGTGGGGGCCAGTGGGTGGGCGGGGCTACATTCAGTGTATAAGATGCGCCTATATTTTCACCCCCTTTTAGGGGGGAAAAAGGTACGTCTTATATTCCAAAAAATACGGTATATAGAAATCATTCTTCAAGTTGGACTAGAAGACCTCCAAGGTCCCTTCCAACTCTGTTATTCTATTCTAAAAGTGCTGCTACCTACAGAGCAAGGATGGAAAGGCCTATTTACAAATGTCAGCAGAGCCAGAGAAATTAAAGGTTTACAGTACAGGTAGGCCTCAACTTACAACCATTCATTCAGTGACCATTCAAAGTTACAAAGGCACTGAAAAAAGTGACTTATGACCATTTTTCACACTTACAACTGTTACAGCATGCCCATGGTCACATGATCCAAATTCAGATGCATAGCAACTAGTTCGTATTTATGACGGTTGGAGTGTCCCAGAGTAATGTGATCATCTTTTGCCATCTTCTGACAAGCAAAGTCAATGGGGAACCTGAATTCACTTTACAACTATGTTCCCAATGGAACAACGGCAGTGATTCACTTAACAACTGCGGGCGGAAAGGTTGTAAAATGAAGGCAAAACTCACTTAACAACTGTCTCACTTAGCAGCAGAAATTTTAGGTTCAGTTGGGGTCATAAGTCGAGGACTAGCCTTAGTACAATTAATAGTTAGAGAAGAATCTTTGAGATGGGAAAGTGTGAAGACAGAATCGAGGCGAGACAGATGAAGACTGAATGGGCTCCAGGGAAATGGAGCAATGGCTGGATGGGAAAGGGAGAAATGGAATGGAAGATCCTGAAGGAAGATGTACAAGGCTGAATAGCGAAATGCCACTTGTCACCACAAAATAATGAAAGCCAAATAAAAAAATTATAATACAAATCAAACTCTGGGAGATCAGATCTCAAATGTAAAAGAGTAACATGGAATGGAATGGAATGGAATGGAATGGAGTGGAGTGGAGTGGAGTGGAGTGGAGTAGAATAAAGTAGAGTAGAGTAGAGTAGAGTAGAGTAGAGTAGAGTAGAGTAGAGTAGAGTAGAGTAGAGCAGAGCAGAGCAGAGCAGAGTAAGGAATAGAATAGAATAGAATAGAATAGAATAGAATAGAATAGAATAGAATAGAATAGAATAGAATAGAATAGAATAGAATAGGAATAGGAATATTCTTTATTGGCTCAATGTGATGGGACACACAAGGAATTTGTCTCTGGTGCATAAGTTGTCACTGTACATACAAACAACAAAATGATAAATGATAGATAGTAAGAAAACCTCTGCATCTATATAGTTTAACATTAAGGAACATTGGAGATGTTGTTGAATGGCAGGAATTTATTCAGAGCATTTTCCTCTTGTTTTTCTCTATAGACAAGCCTCATTATTTGTTGAGATTCTAATAAAGTTGTGTTTCTATAGTTTCAGGACTATACAGGAATTCAATTCCTCCAAAAATGCAAGTGAATTGCAGGTTGCATTAAGAGCATCTTCAACAAGTAACATTGAAGTCAAAATGATGATGTCTCGTCGCTGAACAAAGGATGAAATTGTGTACACCTAACCTAATGTCTGATGCATATACATAGGCAGTGTCAGTTGTGTCATATTGTCACATATGTGCCATCATTTGTTCCTCTCATCCTCTTTTGGACCCACTAGAAGATGGCTCTGGTAAGGAGGAACTTAAGCGAGGGGTCCTTGGTGTTCTCTGGACTTGATTGTTTTCTTTTAGGCGTTTCATTACCAAACTGGGTAGCATCTTCAGTACTAGTAGAAGAGGCAGAGAGTACAGAGACAGGAAATGCCATTCCTTATTAGCACTGATGATATTACCTAGTTTGGGTAATGAAACGTCTACAAGAAAACAACCAAGTTCAGAGACCCCGCATTTTGGAGGCACTTAAGATGCGCAGAATTCATAGGAGAAGATTGGCTGGTGGGTTGTTTTAAATGGACAGTTGCTCACCTGCTGACAACCAGACAATATTTCTGTGGAGGAAAAAAACAGAAGTTAGCAAAGTTCATGTAGTTTTCCATCACAGAGCAGATTTTGACAATTGGTGCCCTTCAGTTTGCTGGCTTCTGACTTCTAGAATTCCTATCCGTATGGTTAGACAATTAAAAAATGAAATACAGATACTTCGGCTTATGACAATAATTGACCCCAAATTTCTAATTGGTTAAATGAATTTTGTCCCGTTTTATGACCTTTCTTGCAATCATTGTTAAGTGAATCACTGAAGTAGTTAAGTTAGTAACATAGTTGTTAAGTGAATCTGGCTTCCCGTGAATCCGGCTGACCAGGATTGACTTTGCTGGTCAGAAGGTCGCAAAAGGAAATGTTATGACCCTGAGACACTGAAACTGCCATAAATATGAGTCAATTGCCAAATGTTCGAATTTTGATCTCGTGACTATGGGGGATACTGCAATGCTTTTAAGTATGAAAAATGGTCATAAGCAGTGGTGGGATTCAGCCGGTTCGCACCACTTCGGGAGAACCGGTTGTTAACTTTCTGAGCAGTTTGGCAAACTGGTTTTTGGAAGAAATCATTAGGGCAGAGAACCGGTTGTTAAATTACTTGAATCCCACCACTGGTCATAAATCACCTTTTTCAATGCTGTGGTAATTGTGAACGGTCATTAAACAAATGGTTATAAGTCGAGGACTATCTGTACAACACGTATGCCTACAATAAGGTTGACCATATAATGCAGAAGCATAACAAGCTTCTGATACGCTTTTTAGTGTCATCAAGACTGAAAAAGATCAAAATGGAGGTGTCTCACCCTCAGGAACTCAGTCTGTGGTTCGTCTTGCACTTCCCCCAGGACCATCTCCATCTGCTTGAGCTGGTCCAGGTAACGGGTCACAGTCTTGCGTTCATTTTGCAAGGCCTCAGAGGCCTGTTGTTGCACCCTCTCGGCCTCCTGGCCCAGGGAAGACTCCAGCGTCCCCAGATAAGACCGCATGGCCCCCAACTGCTCTGCTACTTGGTGTTTGAACCGGGATACTGTTTCCTAGTGTGGGAAGAATTCATAAATTTATATAATTATCCTGGGGGCTAATTTTTCTGGGGCCAAATACAGTGGTGAAATCTAAAATTTGTTACGACCGGTTCTGTGGGCGTGGCTTGGGGGGTGGGGTGGGGGTAATGTGACCGGGTGGGCGTGGCCAATTTTTTTTTTTTTACTTTTAAAACCATTTTTTCTACAAATTCTTCTGCAAAGAGGTTGTAAAAAAATGCTTTCAAAAGGCTCTGACGATCCCAGCTGAGTTGCCTGATCGGCAGAGGCTTTTTTTTCTTTTAAATGCCTCTGACGATCAGGCAACTCAGCTTGGATCGTCAGAGGCTTTTAAAAACCTCTGAAGAAGTTGTAGAAAAAATGCTTTTAAAAGCCTCTGATGATCCCAGCTGAGCCGCGCGATCATCAGAGGCTTTTTTTTTACTTTTAAAAGCATTTTTTCGGCCGAAGAGGTTGTAGAAAAAATGCTTTAAAAAGTAAAAAAAAAAGCCTCTGATGATTGTGCAACTCAGCTAGGCATGGGGGAGTGGGGCAGGGATTTTTGCTACCGGTTCTTTGAACCACCTGCCTCCATCGCTACTGGATCAGGCAATCCGATCCGAACTTGGAGCATTTCACCCCTGGTCAAATACAAGATGAAGAATGCTTATCTGTAATCAGTCATAAGTCATAAATTTATTTTGTCAAGGATATATAAGATAACAGGTAAAAGTATAAACATAATTTGAATACATGAAAAGAGTAAGAGTAAAAAGGAATATTAGGACAGGGACGGTAGGCACGCTGGTGCACTTATGCACGCCCCTTACAGGCCTCTTAGGAATCAGTGTTTGTAAAACCTGCTTATACTCACCTAGAGAACATGTCTATTATATAGATTTAATCTGATTTACAGTAATTTCCTCTTACCAATATGGGCGAAATATAGGACTGTCATTGGTTATTCTAAACTACAGTTCTTAAATAGTATTAAGAAAAGTGCAATTAATCTGGTAATTACTGTAAACTTGCAGAGCATATGTGTGAAATATTTTGTGTGCACGTCCATATGTTTGTGCAATATGTATATTAAATTTATATGCCACCCTCTCACTGTTGTAACAAATATTTGTGCCATGTGTTTGTTTGTGTGTGATGTTTGTTTATGCACACATAAGGTAGGTGTGTGCTTACTTAGCAAGGAGCAATGCAATGAGTGAGCCAACATTTTAATGTTGTATCTTTATAGATCTTATATGTTATAAACCACCATCTGGTCTTTCTACTACCTACCTATCTGAGTCTCTCTCACACACAGACAAACAAACATCCAGAATTGGTACCTCCACTTCTGCTATTTGCCGATTCAGCAGGGCAATGGTCTTCTCCTTGCGTATTTGGACTTCTTGAAGCTGGACCTGCTGCTGAGGAAGCTGTTTCTGCAATTATGTCAGATGGTAAGCAAGGAGAGACAAAATACAGAAATTTCTCAGAAAAAGAGCAGGAGAGAAGATACTTCATCTGACAGTGATCTGGAGCAAATATTCCAGGAGATTCATAATCCCCAGCTCTACTTTCAGGGAGACAGTACAGTTAGTCCTCAATTTAAAACAGTTCATTTAGTTTGCAGTTACAACTGCACTAAGAAAAGTGAGTCATGGCCATTTGTCACGCTTACGACCGTGGTAGCATATTCGGCTGCTGGACAGCTGAGTCACATTTATGACGGTTGCAGTGTGCCGGAGTCATGTGGTCCCCTTCTGACAAGCAAAGTCAACGGGGAAGCCAGATTCACATAACTGTGTTGTTAATTTAACAACTGCAATGATTCACTTAAGAAATCAAGAAATTTGTGAAATGAAGCAAAACTCACTTAACAAATTTCTCACTTAGTAACATAAATTTTGAGCTCAGTTGTGACCGTATGTTGAGGACTACTGGTAGTTTCAGTCATTCATTCACTCTCTCATTCACTCACTCACTCACTCACCCGTCCATCCGTCCATCCATCCATTCATCTGTCCATCTGTCTGTTCATCCATTTATGTACCCATCCGTCCATCCATCCATCCATCCATCCATCTGCCCATACACACACACACACACACACACACACACACACACACACACACACACATCCATCCATCCATCCACATGAACCTTGCCAAGGTGACTCAGAATATCAAACAAGTTTAAAACAATGCTGATCAAAATTCAGGTGTTTGGCAACTGACATGTATTTATGATGTTTACACTGTCCAGTGTGATCATGTGATTGCCATTTGTAACCTGCCCAGCCAGCTTCCAACAAGCAGAGTCAATGGGGATTTGCTGAAGGACCACACAGTTCACTTAACGACTGCAGTGATTTGCTTAACGAATGAGGCAAAAAAGATCGTAAAATCTGGCAAAACTCACTTAATCATTGCTTTGCAATGGAAATTTTGAACTCACTTGTGGTCGTAAGTCAAGGACTAACTGCACAGGGATTCATAAGTGACAACCACATGTTAGCTGCACTGGAAGCTTATTGGCAGCTAAAGTATTTTTTCCTGTAAATTTCCATAAAATGTCATAGCTTGGTAGAATCAACAAATAACATGCCCACCCATACTTTAGGACAAAGACTTTAGCTCAGAGGGAGAACACAAATCTTGCAGGAATGGTACCAGGTTCAATCTTTGGTATTTCTCCGACCGGCAAGATCCTTGCTTGCAACCCCCCCTGTGGCCTGTCCTTGCTGGATTGACCAATGGCCTGACAGAATCAGGGGTGGGCTTCAAAAATTTTAGCAAGAAGTTCTCTGCCCGGTTGTTGGGTGGGCGTGCCCATGGTGGGCATGGCCTAGTTGGCCTCCTCCAACATGGCAGGGGGGGTGTTTTTGCCCTCCCCGGGCCCTGGAGGCTTTCCTTGAGCCTCCGGGAGAGCGAAAACGGCCTCCCCAGGCTCCAGAGGTCCTCTGGAGGCCAGAAACGGGCCTGTTTCCAGCCTTCCCAAACTTCCAGTAGGCCCATTTTTTCCCCTCCCTGAGCCTCCGTGCATGCCCTACACTTACCTGCATTCAAAACAGGTTGCGTGGGGACTTCTGGGAGAGGTGGGCAGGACCAGCCAGGAGTGGGATTTGGGGGTTCTCTGAACTGCACAGAATCTTAGCTAGAGGTTCTCCCGAACACCTGCGAACCCCCAGTAGCCCATCCCTGGACTGAATCCAAGTCAGGGGTGCCTGCTGGACTGACACTGGCAGAGGAACAATGAGGAGAACAAGACACCGAGCCCCTAGGACTGTATTCAGTCTCAACCTCTTACCTTCATCCTCTGGTGAGCCTCAGCAGCAGTAATGATGTTGTGTCCCTTATGCTTGCCTAGTGAGGCGCAAACCCCACAGATCACCTGCCGGTCCTGTTCGCAGTAGACACTGAGTGGGTCAAGGTGTTCTTCACAGTGATCACGAGGCACCTGCCGGAAAGACTCCACCAAATGCTCCATCTGCTGGTTGATCCGCAGCTGCTCCACCTTGGTGATGGTTTGGCAGGTGGGACATGAGGGAGCAGTTTTGCCCTCAGACTCTTCGGTGGCCACACGGGCCAAGCAGGCCTGGCAGAAGGTGTGCCCACACTCTGTTGTCACAGGGGACTGGAAGAGCTTGAGACAGACGGGGCAGCTGAGGTCCTGGTGCATGCCCTGCATGAGGCGTTGTTGGGAGCTGGACATGGTGACGATGGAGAGACGAAGACCTGGCAACCAAGAATGACAGTGGGAACCCAGAATCTGATTTGCTTATTCTTCTACTACTGCCCCCATTAAACCACCGGGGTCCCCTTATTTTCTGCAGTGCAACGAACACCAAACATAGGGAATATGAATAAAGAGCTCAATGCACAATGACCCTATGGTTACTTCCCCACAATTTTCTTGACAACTGAAGAAGCTTCTTGGATGAGAAGCAAAATGTCTTCAAGGAAGAAGAAAGTCGTCTTTTGAAAAAGCACCTATGGGACAGCCGTAATCTGGATGACTGAGAATCTCCATAGATATTAGGCAATGTTAACTATGCTACCCACTACCAAGAAAGATAAGGAAAATTATAATAATGTGCAATTTAATCCCCACCTATCTTGTGTAATATTTGGCCCTGTTGCGATGCAAGGGTAGAAGATGTTTGATTTTAGGAAAGATGTGGGCTTCCCTATAGATAGGGCTATCAAAACTGACCTGCAAATCTCCAAATGACCATTAGAGGGCAGGAAAGTGTTGTTTTCAGCTCCTCATTATGGTTGCCCTCTAATGGTCATTTGGAACTTTGCATCCTAGATCTGGTAGTTATAACATAAAACATAACATAAAAATTGTCCTAGCTCCAAGCCTCCTCCAAAATCTGGATTTTCTCAAGCTTTTGAGATCACTGTTGAAATTATGAAATTGCAATAAAAAAGGGGAAGCACATCTCCCAATACGATGATGTATATTTTTTTAAAAAAAATTTTTTTAATTTTTTATTGGTTAAAATACAAAAAAGACAAACAAACATACATAAGACAATAAAACATACACAACAAATAAACATAAATCAAGTCTATGCGACTTCTTTTTTCAAACTTGTCACATCGGTAGACTGTATTTATATTCGTATCTATATATCAATATATTTATGTATAAAATAATATATACATCATTTCCTCGAATTTTCTTAATCTATATAATCTATATATTTGATTTACTATATTCCTTACTTAATACTCAATTGTTATCCATGGGTTATATCCTCTCCTTTATTTCCCTAATTATTTAATTTCCTTTCTTTTTCTCCAGCCAATTATACCATTTCTGCCATACTAAATAGTAATCCGTTTTTTCCTTTTCCTGTATTTCTTTTGTGAGTTTGTCCATTTCTGCACATTCCATAATTTTACTAATTATTTTATCCTCTGTTGGTATGTCTTCATGCTTCCAATTCTGGGCAAAAACTATCCGTGCTGCTGTTAGTATATGAATAATTAAGTACTGTATTTTATTTCTTTTTCGTAATGTCCTGTAATTATTCCTAACAGGAAGGTTTCTAGTCTCAATTCTATTTTCTGGTGTGTGATTTCCTCTATTTGTATCCTGATTGCCTGCCAAAACTGCTTTGCTTTCTGACAAGACCACCACATGTGGTAGTAGGTTCTTTTCTGCTATTTGCATTTAATATTTTTATAACTTTTTAAAGGAAGCTTCTAACTTTGTGGTTCCCTTTTAGCATGAGACCCAAGTTAAAGGACCTTTCAGCTCCGACAATCCAACAAATCTCAGTTGGCTCTACCTACCATGTTTCCCCGAAAATAAGACCTGTCTTATATTTTTTTGAACCCTGAAATAAGCGCTTGGCCTTATTTTCAGGGAGGTCTTATTATTTTAGGGCATGTGGAGCAAGATGGGACTCCTCTTGCCATCTTACCTGATTTCCAGTTCTGTGTTTAAATATTTTCAGGGAGGGCTTATTTTCGGGGGGGAGGCTTATTTTAGTGCATACGCTCAAAAGCCCTATTGGGCTTATTATCAGGGATGTCTTAGTTTCGGGGAAACAGGGTAGCACTATTGATCCTTTCCCTCCTTCAAAGAAAAGTAGCAATGAGCAAACACAGAAAGTTATCAGAAGAAGACAAGAACATTTATGAGTAACGGCTCCATCAACAGAGTTAGGGGTCCATATCTTCATCCTAGAATCATGTAGCCAGAATCAGGCCCACTCTGGATTTTATCCCTCTTTATAGCTCTTGTTAAATTATTCCCCCTCCTCAGTTGTTCCCATTGTTGACTTTCAGAAATGTAGGAGTTAGTAGACTGAAAATAATCAATGTATAAAAAGGAAAGAAAAATTAAAAATAAGGAAATTAAGTGAAGAAAAAAGAAATGGGGAAAGAAAGAAAAAGGCATTGACTTCCAACTCTTTTTGGCACAGTACAAGATAACAACATTACAACCAGTGGTGGGCTGCTGCCGATTTGAACCAGTTCAGGCAAACCGGTAGTTGTGACCTGCGGGTGGCACCAGGGTGGGGCCCACGCACCCCACACCCCACCCCCACACCACACCCCGGTACTATGCCGTCCTATTTAGCTGCGTTTTTTAAGCCATGCGCATGAATGCAAACTGCACACACAAGCAAAGCACATGGTTAGGGTTAGGGTTAGGGTTAGTGCACACCAGGGGTGAAATCCAGCAGGTTCTGACTGGTTCTGGAGAACCAGTAGCAGAAATTTTGAGCAGTTCGGAGAACCGGTAGCAGGAATTTTGAGTAGATCAGAGAACCAGCAGATACCATCTCTGGCTGGCCCCAAAGTAGGGTGGGAATGGAGATTTTGCAATATCCTTCCCCCAGGAGTGAGGAGGGAATGGGGATTTTGCAGTATTCTCCCCTGGAGTGGGGAGGGAATGGAGATTTTGCAGTAGTCTCCCCTGGAGTGAGGTGGGAATGGAGATTTTGTAGTATCCTTCCCCTGGAGTGGGGTGGGAATGGAGATTTTGCAGTATCCTTCCCTTGCCACGCTCACCAAGCCACCCCCACCAAACCACACCAAACCACTGCCACAGAACTGGTAGTAAAAAAATTTGGATTTCACCACTGGCATGCACGCTCACATTTTTGGTGCTGGGCAAACCGGTTGTTAATTCATGTGCCACCCACCACTGATTACAACCTCAGCTTTTTATTTTTACACATTAGTATATAACTAATGGCTATAACAAGCCATTTCTATAACAACAAATCAGCAAAACCAACATCAAAGTTTCATTTTTTTCTTCATCACAAGCACAAAATCCAGAAGTGATATCCAAATAAAAAACAGAAATATATTCTCCTCTTTGAATAAAATGATCAATTTAATCATTACTGCTTTATCTTCTTTGCTGTTGTAGCAATGTGTATTTCTATTTGCACTTAATAATCTTTGCAAACTATCATAATTTGTATTAACAAAATTGACTGTATTTTTTCAGATTCTTTAACCTTAAAGGGAAAAATATTTTTTTCATCCATTTTAAAGCACTAGGCTTTTTGTTAAAAACTGTTATGTATTGTATGTGGTCTACTGTATAGTTGTCAGTTGAAGTTCTCATTCTGGTCCACTGTTGAAGCGGGAAAATACTCTCTCCTAATTGGTTGTTTGGTTGATCAGTTTTATATAAAAGGAGCTGTGTCAGCCAGGGAGCGCTGTTGTCTCACAGGCAGTATTGAATAAAGAACTGTTAAAAATCACTCCGGCCTCGCCCCCATTCTTTGCCCAGAACTTAACACTGGCGATGAGGATGGGATCAAATGGAAGATTGAGGCTGCAAAGAGCTGATCACTGCGAGCTGATCCACTCAGAGCTAAATCACCGGAACTGATCCACAGTTGCTGCCACTTCATTGACCAAAGACCCCTCAGTCTCTTGGAAAATGGCTGCATATTGCCTTTTGCCCCTTACAGCCCAGTTTGTGAGACATGGGACTCCTACCTTGCTCATTTCGACTGCTTCCTCGAAGCCAATGACTTTGCTGAGATCACTGACAAAAGGAAAAGGGCACTTTTCCTAAACTTCTGCGGCCCAGAGATTTTTAAGACGGCCAGGGTTCTCCTCACTTCACTGGCTGTTCAGTCTGCACTGTGGGACGTGCTGCAGAGCAAGCTACAGACTCACTATGCACTCAAACCTTCACGAATCGCACGTCAGCACATTTTCCATCATCGGAATCAGGCTGAAAGTGAATCCATCAACAAATACATTGCCACCCTTCAAAAGGCAGCCCTATATTGTGAATTCAGGGACTTAGATGACGCTCTCTTGGACAGAGTGGTCTGTAGTGTGAGGGACGTCAAGCTACAGTGACGCCTCCTTGCAAAAACAGATCTCACCCTGCAGAAGGCGCTCGACAAGGCACATTCAACCTTGACCCCCAGGTTTCTCCGATCCAAATGCAGCCACGAAGAATACCGTTCGCCTTACACTCAAAGGTTAATGAGCAACTCGACAAGCTCATCAGCCAAGGAATCCTGGAACCTGTTGACCACGCAAAATGGGAGACTACAATTGTGATTCCTGTGAATCCAGATGGTCCTATCTTCATCTGCACAGACTATAAATGTACATTAAATAAAGTGTTACAGCAAAATGCATACCTGGTGCCTGTAGTTCAACATCTGCTGCACTCTCTGGGTGCAGGTAAGGTCTTTGCTAAACTGGACCGTGCCCAAGCCTACCAACAGCTATCAGTTGACAATGCTACAGCTGAGGCTCAGATGATTGTAACACATCGAGGAGCTTTTAGATGTCACCGGCTGAAATTTGGGGTGAGCGTAGCACCGGGACTTTTCCAGAGCTTGATGGAGCATCTCTTGCAAGGCATCCCAGGTGTTGTCCCCTATTTTGATGATGTCTTAGTGTCAGTGGCCAACAATGCCGAACTCCTCGACTGTCTGCGAGCAGTACTCACCCATTTCCAGGAAGTTGGCCTCAAAGATAAAAATGAAAAATGCAAGAGCGCTGTCCCACAGGTAGAGTTCCTCGGCTACCTTATCGATGCCTCTGGGTTACACTTTACACAGGTAAAGGTCAAAGCCATCCAGGAAGCTCCCACACCCAAGAACAAGACCAAACTCCAGGCTTTCTTGGGACTCCTAAATTTCTACAGTGTCTTCTTGCCAGACAATCTTTCATAGCTGAGCCTCTCCATCACTTGCTCAATAAGAAGATGTCTTGGTCCTGGGGCTGAA